TTTTCAGATTTATAGTATAATTGTAAATTTATAGACTTCCTTCACCATTTATTTATTTTTCACCTATCACCTGACAGTGGCTTATCTGCGCCGAAGTATGATGTGAGAGAATAATGAAAACATTTGTCTGTGTGACCGAAAGTCTCTCCATAATTACTGAATTTGTTTAGCCATGTAGTAGTCGTTGAAACCGACCGCAGTGGCCGCGAGCTCTCAGGCCTGAACCGAATGCCACTCGAGACATGGATGTCTGCGTTTGTTCTGTGTGTAGGTAGCGTCCTTGCGACTGGCTGATCCCCCTTGCAAGGGATCCTACCGACTTTATATAGGATTAAGAAACTGAAAAAGTGGCCAATGTCCAAAGGGCTGTAAAACCGAAAAAAAGAGTAGTCGCTGATTCATGATGTCTACTGCGTCTTTAGGACCTCGGATTTTCTGTATTTTTACTAAGTTTGAGGGTTAAATTCTCGTACAATACAGACCGTTCTATGCTAACCTTGCGAAGGTATTAAATTTTTCGTATGGTATAATCCATTCATTTCTTATGCCTTTCTTTAACTCCATTCCCTGTCAGGTGTGTTTTTAGCGGTATTTATCAATATTACCTAACTTCCTAAATTACATAGAAATAGAAATGTAACATGATTAAATGTTCCTCTTTAAAGTCTGAAGTGTGGTATTTATGTGATATTAGCTTCGGCATGACGGAGTTGCATCCATTCACACCACACGTGCTGCATCTGTTCATCGCTCGCTTCACCCGCAAATTATCACAGTAATCTGATTTCGACTCGAGATAAGCGAACGCATGGCAATGGGAACCCCGAATGCTGCCTTATCTATAGTTTTTTAAACGAGAGAAAATAGACTTGCAAATTTTATCAATAATACTCCTGGAATTAAATCAGTCTTTGGCCTCTTTGTCGGTAGAGTTACAGCTTTGATACTCTCCACTCAAACGTTTTAATTATGAACAAACAGATGGCATGCCGGCGTGGCTATAGCAGTCACAACAACACCAAAAACACCTTTTTATGTCTATTTTTCTGGCCCGCCTGCTGTATCAATACACGTTGGGTCAAATTCGTTTACGAACGGTCCTTACATGTTGCCACTAAGTTCTCCACGGTGCCAAGCCGAGTGCTTGCGTTCAGGTAATGGTTCAGGTTATTTGGAAGTTGAATTCATTCCACTTCTCGAATAAAAACAGCAGGTGGAAATTCGTTTCCCATAGCATGCAGTTTGGTGGCTTTGTTCTTCTGAATAAAATGTAGACTTTTTATACTGCGACTAGCGTAACGTCCGTTGAGAATTCAGCTGCAAGTCTCAACATTTCTTATGTAAGCTTTCGTTTTGTTAACTTTGCCTTTTTTTATCCCATATTCCTTTCTGTGTGTGTATGTTATCGAATGATAACGTCAAGACCGACGCATAAGTCAATATATTACGGATTACAGGCATAAATAATGAGTTGTTAAACTTCTCCCCAATAAGATTACTATACTTTGTTTAACCACATAAAAAGTTATCAGTACTCTCTGAATACACGACATACGGAAACAAAGGATCGCTCGCTCATTCGTGACGCACTACATAATTTATGTTCATGCGTCATGATAATGCTCGACTGTTCTTTAAAATGTTAACTTGAAACTGCTTAATTTTAGAGCCTTCGTCTGTTTTATTCTCCTATACACAGGATATATGAGAAAGTATTGTGACCGTCACAAAAATCTGTTTCAATATTTTGACAGATTTACACGTTTTCAGCCCCCCCCCCACACCGACTACAGAAAGCGTCTTGTTTTACTTGTCTCTGTGTATGCACTGTATGTACGTGCGTACATATGTATGTATGGATGGATGTGCGCTCCGCTAGCTCCTGAATGAGTCGACGGATTTTATTAATATTCGGCATTCAGGAGTTTATGTCTCATACATCGGGGCGGCTAATATGTTACCTGTCCAAAAATAGGGACTCTTTGAAGTTTTTTTTTTTCTTGGCACTACAGCCCCAGTGGGCCTAGGCCTACCTCCATGAACTTCTCCGTTCACTTCGGTTTTTCTAGATCTTACACATACGGTAGGACTCCTTGGGCGGCTCGTTGAAGATTAGGTCCCCCAAAATGGAGGTTTTCTCCATAACCATTCTAATGATTTTTATTATAGTTCAGTAATTTATGGACACCGACACCTTAAATAAAACTACATGGATGGCATATTTCAGGAAAATATCGGTCCATCCTCTAGCGGCCTGAACATGTACATGACAAAAATGTGCTCTGTTTTTGTAGCGATTTACAAATATATGTACATAAATGTACGTGCGTTTGTGTGTGTGGCATGGTACAGTAGGCCATATAATTGGTGGCATAATGTCAGTCTTTTTGTAGATTACCTACTTGTTTATTAACAAATGAGTTTCGTCGCCAGTTATTTATTACATAATTGCGTTTGCATCACAGAATTAATGAATGTGAAAATACATTGAACAGCTTAAACATAATTTAATTTGTTCCAGATAGGCCTCTGTGTAAAGTATCAATATCAAATGGTAATGAGTTATACGCAATTTGAAATATAAACAAACGCACCCTGGATTTATGTGATGAAAACACCACTCAAAATTCAAAACTAGATTAACGAACCCAGCTAACTTACAAAATATGTTTCGATTGCAGTGGAATTCGGCGAAATTGAAGTAATGGTATCTAATGTGGGGGGGGGGCATGAACCAAGGTTAAATTATACTGTTATCAGTTGAGAAAAATATTTGTATGGAATATTACTAGTCGTAATTACCATGTTATTCATGGATCAAGCTGTTCAGTCATTCCTATTTATTTATTTTTAAATGCAAATTTATTTCCTTCTTCCCCTCTCAAATTATTGCAACGTAACGCCCTTTCCGTCCTCAGAATACTGTGTTGATGGTCTCATATGACCCGGCCCGGATTTTGATGACCTGAAAATATTAAAAAAAATGATCTATAAATGCCCGAAAAAATCCACAAAAATGACCTAAAATATGACCCAAAAATGTAATATGCAGGGCCCGGATTTTGATGACCTGAAAATATTCCAAAAATGATCTATAAATGATCGAAAAAATCCAGAAATATGAATTAAAGGAGAAAAGAAGAAGAATACTTCGCTTCCATGTTATTCACATTTCAGAAAACATGTGAAGAAAAATTCCCTAAAATGGCCAAAAATGACAAGAAATACCCTTAAAAGTCCAAAAATTTACAAAAAATTACCCCCAATATGAAAAAATGATCTTAAACCTAAAAATGTAAAAAAAAAATGACAAAAAATTTACATTTCTGTAACCCGCAGCTCATATCCGAGATTTATATATTTAACAGCATCGAATAGGATACAAGGAAAAAAAGATTACATGTCATAAAATTCCGGGCCCTGCATATGACCTAAAGTTCACACTCAGGTTGCTGGAACACTAACAGAATCCAGTCTAGTCGACTCGAATCGAGTTGACTCACTAAGATGCAACAAAGGCAGACACTCAGCTTCACTCTTCTCATTTCGAAGGACGCAGCGTGAACGCATATATGAATGACATGCGAAATGAGGGCATCTGCTAGGTGAATCATACTCGATTCGACTCGACTAGACTCAACCGAGTACCCACAGCAGTAATGTAACTAGGCGACTTTATAACTGCCCCCGAAGTTTTTCTTCATTTATATGAAACTTCTAATGCGCAGGCGCAGAGTACAGCTAGGTAATACGACGATGGAACTGCCACCTCCAGGCTTCTGAACAAGCTTCGTTCCACATTTATTACCCCTGCAGACTGTCCCACTATTTTAAAGTCCCCGGGAATGGGCTTTATTAATGAGCGTTGAACTCGAGAGGAAGTTGAATGGAAACTGAAAAGTAATTACATTATACTGTACTGTGTCTGTGTATGTGAAAAGGGTGGAAGGACTGTCTTTACATATTTGCTTCACTTTCATATAATACGTATATATTCACGAACATCTCAATATTTAATACTTAAAATTTTTAGTCGACTGGAATGAAATGACGGTGGCTTTAATTCTGACATGAAAAATGGCGTGCCTTGTTATTGTCATATTTCAAAACGTTTTCATTTATTCGATTGATAATAAAGCAGAATCCCTCAAAATTTGACATTTGTGGAGAAGTTATATCTTCTGTTTTTTTATTTTTGAAAATAAATTATACTTTTAAACGCTTGATGGCGTTGCCACCTTAGCCAAAGTTATTATTAAATATGGGCGATACTGATTTCGTTTCTTTCAAGAAGGAAATTAATCTTACAGCAGTGACCAGCTTTCATACGTGTTACTTCTCTCTTCCCCCCCCCCCCCTCGTTTCTTATAGTAATCCTACTTCCACAGTATGATTTATACTTACTTGAGATGCAAGATTTTTGGTGGACCATAGTTGCGATATTTTAGATTGTAACTGCCTTGTCTGTAGCAGCCTAATGGAGCTTGAATAGGTCGAATTTTTCAGTCTGTTTCCTTCCTTCATTAAGAAATAAACAGATCCAACAGATCGCGATGCTGTATGTATTTCTATGTCGCAAATTTCAAACTTGAATCGACAGGTTATTTGCAGAATTAACGTTATACCATTTATTAAACCATCACAAGAAATATGGGGCACCGAGCCGAGATTTCTGTCAGAAAACGTAGTTCGAAGAAAATAAGTAATAGTCTCTTACAGAAATAAAATTTGAAGTCGAAAAATTCGCTTAAGTTTCCTTTAGTTTCTTCAATGTCTTGAAGCATATCGAAACATCATTTCATTTTATTTCTTGCTCGTCATTGCAAAATTATATTAATTACCTATGTGAAAGTTATTGAAGACTGAAAGTATTTGAAAGCAAAATCTCCGGTAACTAACAAATCCTGCTATCTGAACAGTATATTGTGCTGGTTCATTTCAAATTTGGCTCTTGTATGTTGTGAAATTCTTACATGGTATTTTCCGTTTCTTTGTTACAGAACCGGATCTCCTCGTTTCAAGGGCTGAAGTTATACTGAGTTCTTCGGCATCTACACAAGCAAACACTTAGAGCATTTTTTCCGTAGGATAATTAATTCGAAATTTTATTGTAATATATATTCTCAGGTTATAGAAAGAGTGATGAAAATCGAAAACTATAATCGTGTTCATGAGTAACATTTCTTGTGTAAAACGCCCCATTATTTAATGTGCATTAATTCTTTCATCNCAGAAGACGACTTTCTTCATAGTCATCGCCGTGAAAACCTCAAAACTTACAAATTCTTTTTTCTGTTTCTGCTACTGGGCTGAAGCAAATTCGGCCTTGAAATAAGTCAGTATTAGCTGTGTTCTATAGTGCAGGGCGAGCGGTTACACACAACTGCATGCAGTGTGCAGTGGTGTATACAGACAAAGTAAACATTCGCACAATTACCACTTACTATTGCACTGTAACCTGAAGGGTATCTGTCTACCTCATTACGTGTCGGGTGTGAACATACATGAGTGAACTTACTAAGTGTAAATATGCTCTTAATCAATTGAATTATAGTGTTTACTCAACACTAACAGTGGAAATGAGACTGTTGAGTGCTTTGCTGAAGCGTTGCTGATGTCTGTTGAAGGTAAGAGAATAAACAATAAGTGAATACTTCATGTTATCTGTACTGAAGTGCAAGAGGAACAACTATCAAACATAAAAGGTCTGTGATCTCGAGTAAGTAGCCGTATGGAGACCACACATGACAAATGTAAATTTCAGTTTTATTCTGTAATTATTTAAAAGTTATGGACATTGAAGCATACAGGACGTTTCGGATAATAACAAAAGTCGCCTAAAATGAAGAAACAGGGACTAAAGCTTCTTAAATAAAGAAGCTTTGAGTTAAATAGTGTCCGCAAAATATACACACGAATGATTATCTAGATTACTACAATGATTGCTACAATTTTTATTAATTTCTTGAAAGTGAATGTCTACAAAATATGCATGTATGAAACAAATACATTAACGCATTCCAGATTACAAACTGTAACATGTTGCCTTGAAGAAGCAGCTTTCTCATAATTCACATGTTAATGGAACAACATATAATATAAGCCTTTTGTTTAATTGAGGGCTTTCAATCATTCGAAATCTTCGTTTGTTTACAAATTTATGAACGATTAATGTCAGTTTGTGTTTTCATGAATTGTTGTAACTTAGTTCCGTGTGAATATTAAATGGTTAATTTCATAGTTATTTATTGTGTACAAACTTATGTGTTGAAATGTGTAGCATATTGCTCGTGTGAATTAGTGACAGAGAACTCAGCATTCAGAGCCTCCCTTAACTCTTCTCAGTAGCACACAAAATTAAGGGAATGTCTATAATTATAAAGCATGCATCTGTGCCCACATTTGCTTATGTTGGGGGGAAAGAATTTTGTTGCTTATGCCAGCATTCCTAGTCACTTCCTCATTATAATATTCACAAGTGTAACCGGTTGTACTAGATAATTTCCTTGTAAAAAACAAGGTAAAATTATCCCTATAAGAGGTCGTCGAGGCCCATAGGGGTTTAAGACGTCGATGCTCCCACATTTTCTAGAAAATCGGTTCACAGATGGCGGTAAGGTTGTCAGGCTTACTCACCGGTCGTTCTTTATTCCCCAGGAAGATTCCTGGTATTCATTTCTGTTAGAGATTGTGCCGAACCCAAGGCCATAATGCGGATGGAACAATTAGGTCAATTGAAAAATCCGATGACCTCCTCGGGAATCGAACCCGCGACCTTCGGTCTTGAAGCAAAGTGCCCTAATCAACTACGCTACCGCGTGCCCTCTATTTTCTCCTTAAATGTAATTCTCATTTATTTGTGTTTCTTGATCTGTTCATGTTCTTAACATGCGCACATAGGTTTCAGCATAGAAGGATCAGTTTTACATGGTAGATTTTGCAGCAGAATACGTTAGAAGTTATTGTACTTATTGGTAATCATCAGTTATATATTCAACTCTTAAACCAGGAACATTACGTGAGATTTGAAATCCTCGCGGTGGTTATTATGAAGGTTACTATCTTGTGAAATGTGACGCCGTGTAGTCTAGTATAAGGTTACAGTCATTTCATAGAAACGCACTGCCTCCGTCTTCGTGGTCGTAAAGTAAGCCAACCAAACAACAAACTGTAGTGTACAGAGCGCTCGGTTGTCACGTCAATGACCAACCTATCTCCGTCTTGAAAACTTGAAAGTAGGAATTTATATTTGAGATATGAGTGCTAATAGGGTAGGACTTTGAAGTCGCGTTAGATGGCAATGGAAATTGTGATGATGGTCAGTAGATTGGCCATCAAACAGTAATCATTATGTTAATAAATATTGCCCAAATTAGAGTTTGTACTAGCGTACATCTCACATTCTGATCTTTTCGAATTTAACAGAATGAAGGAGAAAAATGCCGAAAAATTCTCGCCGAATTCAGTCATTTCTATCTAAGATGTTCGGCTTTCCCACAAAATTTCTGTATACATTTCTTGCCTCCTCCATCCGAGCGGACCCTACATAATATCCTCGACTTCATTAACCTAACTATGTATGTGAACTGTATAAATATGAAGTTCGTCATTATTCAGTATACCTGAAGTGCACAAACACTTCACTCTTTCTCAGGTCTAGTTCGCTAAACCAATTATTTTCAAACACTTGTAAATTATGTTCCTTCCTCGGATTAAAAGCTCACGAATACATTGAATTACAAGTAGCGGCATGTGGACTGAGCAGGCTGGATTCTGGATAGGAAGTACCTTTCTTTATGTTAAGTCCTGTGTTGAAGGCTTCTATGGACCCTGTTTATGGAGACTGGGAATGCATTTTCTGAAAGGTTAATGGAGTTAGAACTTGAATCGAACAGCTCAACCAATCTGTTTCTGAAGTTGGTGAGTGAATCTGTCCTGTGCGCCTTCACAGCGTGTGTACAGATACGGGAATACCTTCTGAAGAAAGCCAACTGTAAAGTAAAGTAGTTATGCCCCTCTTCAGCCTACTTTCCTCGTCGAAGACAATTTATGCTTATGGGATCATCATCCTGTTTTTGTGTATCCTCCATTTCTACAATTGAACCAGGTGGCCGAGTTTCACGAAACTTCGTTGTGGGACAACTTTTTGCCTTATTTTACAATTTCCTACATTAAGCTGTAACAACAAGGCGGACGCACTAACTTGTGAAATGGCAAAAAGAAAAAAAAACACGATTGCCGCTTAATACTCATATAAGAATTCTGAAAATCAACACGAAAGGAGATCATAGAAAAGATGCCATATTTGTTGAGGTAATGTTTTCCTGTAGAGTAGAGAATAGCGACATGGCTGCCATGTGAATATATATTTAAGTTTTTTTATTAAATGATTAGAACTAATGAACCACTCTAGATATTGATCTGATAATTGGTACCGAGAATTGCTCTAAAATATCTGCACGTAATATGCATGAAGTACTGTATAAAGACCTCGTATACAATCACAGCCGATCACAGTGGCCGCGCGGTCTAATCCACTCAATATTCTGTGTCTGTGTTGTCCTATATAGGCAGCGGCCTTGTGTCAGGGTAATCCCCCGTCCAAGGATTCTACCGACTGTCTAAGATTAAGAAACTGAAGTGAAACGAAGCGTTTCACGGATGTCCTATGCTCCAAGTGGTAACAACAGGATTATAGATGTATGCATGTATGGATGAATGGAGAGAGAATATATTATTTTATTAGACAGATTGAAAAGAGGAAGAACCTGTACTGAATCATAGATTCTCCACAAACACTAAATAAATGAGCAATAGTAAAAAATATTGGTAATGTATATATATATATATACATATAAAACGCGAAATTTATCTCGCAGTATAGTAGGTGTTGTGAACCATGTTCGGAACTATTTGTTTGTTTCATGTTTCGATTCTGTAGTCAAATTTATTTAAAAATGAGTACCATAGTGAAGTGAAACGTGGATTGGAGTTTAATTTTCGTAGGAATAAATTAATTTTCAGTATGGAGTGTACATAAATGTATTTCGAATACATCCGGAAGGATGGACGATTTTAGCTTTCATACATGATCAATTATTTTCTGTTAAAAGCCTGAGAAGCCTCTCAGTTCATTAATGCAGACTAGATTCTGTCACCGATGGCCGCACCTGTATTAATGGGTCTTTTTTTCTGAGGCTACAGATATGATTGATTTAGAAGTTGCAAGAACACGTTCGCTGAGTATTATGAGTATTATTGCAACAAATGGGAAGTTCTTTTCGTCTGTTTGAAAACACGAGGAAAGTTATAGATCCGAAATTAAAGATGTCTACACAGTATCCCTATATTGTACTTAGGCACAGAGTATAAAGTTCTGTCAGTTAACAGAGGCAAGTGAAACTGTATAAATAAAGATATACACATATATACATAAACAAAACCTCTTAGATTACTTTTTGTTGGCCACGAGTCCATTTGCTCGTTTAGTGAGTTGTGTTCTCAGCGTGGAGAAATGTCAATAGATATTCATTTCTTTTTCGTCACAGTCTTGTCTAAGGTATACGGATAATCCACCTATGTATCGTATCACCCCTATAATAAACACATTGACTTGTCTATTCAAAACTACCCTAAAGGATTTGAAGAGTTGCTAATGGAATAATTTTTCTGGTTTTTATTTTACCATTGATCATGTGTAAACAAAACACAATAAAGGAATCATGTAGCCCATTGACAGGAATTAATCCATTATCGCGGCCTGGAAGTTCTGTGCACTTTTCAACGTGTACCATTATTTCATTTGGTTTTTATTACTATTCTTATTGGCTCTCCTCACCCTCATGTCGAAATGAACATCAATTTATTTGATCATTAAACAAGAATGGATGTATTCTGTACCGAATATTTCGAAAGAAGTGATGACGTGTTGTGGCATTAAACTCGTCATTATGAAGCTGAAAAATACCAGAATATATACATTAAATTAATACCCATCACAATAAAGGCTAGCAGAATTAAGCTCTCCAACAATATAACACAATTTCAATAGAATAAAATTACAGTTATAAATATTATGATATGCTAAATTATGAAGAATGTAGACATGGACCCTTCATGAGTGTTCTGTTACATATCGCTGCATATATATTTCAGAATTCTTAATTAAAATGCAGAGAGAATATTAATTATGCGGTAAAAGTATGTAATATCAGATTCGAAGCCAGATTTATCGAAATATCATTATTCGCAGTTTTCAACTTAAGGAGTTGTATGTTTTGACTGCGACACAGGTCATTAAAGTTCCCTTTATTAACTTTGTCCCTTTGCAATCTATATAATCCTGCACAGAATTACTTACTCAGTTAGGCCCCTTAGAAGGAGCTGATCTCAATCACTGGAGATTATCTCTTTCTAAGGGGCCCAACTGAGTAGGTGTCTTCCTTTCTCACCTGAAGACGGAAACAGATCCAGCTTCCGAAACGTCATGTCCTCTATTATCTAGTATTCCGGACGATGGAAGTAGTCCAAAACCTCAGTAATTCTGTGTGTCATCCACCATAGTCACCCTTTAGAATCTACGTAACATCCTGTTTCATATTCACTATACTTTATTTCAACATTGTAGACGGTGTAGTTACGTAATCTCAGTAATAATAATAAACATTTCACCTTTCTAAATCTCTAATATACACTTCCCTTGCCATCTCTTTAATATATATCTATATATGTATGTCTCCATGAATATATTTCTTTTCTCTCTTTACTTTTACGGACTACGATTAACTAATTTAAGAAGAAAAATATGCTCTAAATTTATTCTGACGTGAGTAGAGCGCTTCCAATTCCACGATTAATTGGATAGTCCTACCAGTTGGCATTCAGCTGGTCAGTAAATTATGTGTTCTTATAGGGCATGAGATTTGGTAACTTTTATCACAGAACCTCTACTTTATATCTCATTCTGAGCAAGTAAATTCGATTTTTTACTACAGAACATATTTCTCTGTGGTCTGTTGTCATATAATACATTCCGATAAACGTGTGGATATGCCTAATAGCCTTTATCCTGAAGCTTCTCAACCAAAATGTTGCATGCATTTATTTTCTCTGCAGATATTACTGTATACGCATAAGATTGCTACGGCCTATACGTAATTGTTTTGGTGTGAAGTCTCCTGAAATTTTCCTGTTAGTTATATTGGCTCCGGTCACGGTAGCCGAGCGATCTAAGACATGCAGTGT